AAGACAGAGGGCAAAATACAGGTGGAAAGCTGATGTCTGTACAAAAGCAAGATGCAAGAGGACCAAATCACCACCCATACACACGGGTGGAAGCGTTCAGTGGGAGACCAAATACATACCCTCATGTGGCCACGTCTTGTGCCCTCATGCGGTGCCCCAGGCCCCGTTCTCTGCTTGGGTGATGCTCCAAGTGGCGAACATCCCTCATCCCCTTCCTTGCCTCCCTCCACCACAGTCCTGTCTGAGGACCTTCATCTCCGCCTGTGAGCAAGGGATTCAAGCCAAGATGAGCGTGATGGATGGCCTCCCAGGGCTATTTGTATTTACAAAGAGGAGCCCGTCTTGCTGAGAAACCCCTCTCCAAAGACAGACTTCAGACACGAGGGGGCAAGACGCCAGGCCAGCTGTGCAGAGCTGTATTCCTGCCAAGTGACTGAATGTCTGCTTTCAAGCGGTTCTGCGGAGCCGCGCGTCTCCACCTCTGCAGAGAGCGCGCTCCTCCGCTCCAGTGTGCAGGAAAGGTCAGCGCGAAAGAGAGACGCCTCAGTTCAGGCGCCACACATCTTTGTGCTCCAGCCCGCCATGTACAGACATGCATATTCTATCCGCCTGGAGAAGAGTTGTTCAGAAGCATCTGGGCCCTAAAGGACACTTTACAGATAATAGACATGTCTTTGTTCACTGTGAAACAAACAGTCCCATTTCCTGGTCCGTGTGTCTATTAACTAAGCCTCAGGCCTTCCTGGGTACCCCATCATCTGTCCTTTAAATTGTATGTGCGTGCCACCTGGAGGCTGGACATCCTGGCCTGGGGCAGAGACCCTGGGATGCCTCAGCAGCTCTGGGGTCTATGGGAACCCGCCAATGCCCTCGCATCACCCCCATCCCAGGAGTCAAAGCCAACGCTGGTCAACAGGCTGATTCCTCCAGTGTGGACATGTACTGGGTTGGCCAAAAAGTTCATTAGAAAAACCTAAACTTGTTAGCCAACCCAGTATTTCCACTGGTCCACAAGTGTGCCTTTCTAGGCCAGTGTTTTCAGGGCTGAATTTCACATGGGCCAGAAAATCTTTTGTGAAAGGAGGCAGACCACCTAGCTTTGTCGACACTCTATGCCTAGAGTCTGATGACGGATGACTACTTAGTGATGAGTTCCGAAATGAAGACATGATCAGTCTCACTGAATTAGCGTCAGTATTTTATTCATATAAACATGGTGCATTTGCAAATTCAACTCTAATGTCTTGAGTAAGGACACTTATTTTTCTTCCAGTCTCAATGAATGATGCTTCACGTGTGGCATCATGAGACCAGTTACACAAAGGACTCTTGACAGGCTCATTACTTTCTCACCACATTCCAGCAGGCATGACAGACACACTAGCTTTGGGATGCTCAGTCTGACAATTTCCTCCCATTTCCAGGTCAGGCTCCAGTTACTGTTACGAATGCCTCAGAGCTGCATGTAATTTCAATAAATCTTTATATTCTGGAAGTCCTCTGGGGTCAAATCCACCATCTTGGGAGTCAGAGTCTATTGACAAACACTGAGATTGTTCCTACAGGGAGAAGAGCTGATGGCTCCAAAGCCCTTTTGCTGAAGCCCGTGAGAAGAGGGAAGCGTCAGGGTGCCTTTGGCGCCTGTTGGGGGCCAGGGGGTGGGGGCATAGGTGGTCACCCGCGCATGACAGGTCCCTTATTTCTTACCACAGAATATGACATTCTAGCCACCCTCTGGACCCAAACCACCTTAAAAGAGTGTTATACTCGACTCTGAGTGGTCAAATACCACAAGTGCCACTCAATTTTAAAATTATGTAACCCTGGCATTCCAAAGCCCACGGGCATGGCTGTGCCAGAAGAGGCGAGGTCTCTGTTTGAAGGTGAAAGCCCCAGACAGGGCTTAGTCTCAAAAAAAAAAAAAAAAAAACCAAAAAAACAAAAAACCCCGAAACTGTCAAATCACTCTTGAGAGTCTACTTGGCAAGCATTTTCTCCTCCGGAGGAGGAGGTTTTTGTTTACAGGATTTAACAATTGAAGAAAAAAACCCACACACACAATTGTGCATTGTTCAGCTGCGGCACTAAGGTCAGCTCTCAGCACACTGTGGCTTTCCAATTCCTGATCCTTTTTGATCCCATTGTGTAGATCAGCAGATCCGGAACTTTATTTTATGGCTGCAAAATGCAAAGCAAGAGACAATGGGCAGAAATCTTGTGAATCGTGACCCTACAGAACTATCTGCCCAGATGCTGGGCAGAAAGTCCCTCTTGTCCAATTCTAATGGTGTTTACATAACTTTCAGAATATTCACTCATAACACATTTTCTTAGGGTGACTGATATAGGTGCCCAAATCCCCGGTCCCACAAGGGCTAAAATATGCGTGGGGCTGAGACAAAAATACCCTGAAACGAGGAGGCTGGGTAAGACGTCGGGGACAAAGTCAACGCGCTGTGGGAGATAAAGGAACACGAGACTGCGGTGCTGCAGACCACTCTGTCCAACCCTTTTAATGCAGATGTGAAGCCACTGAGGCCCACAAGCGGCTAGCCCAAGGCCGCACAGGTGTTGATATTAACAGTTCATGGCCGAGCAGCACCGACAACTTCCTTCTTACCAGTTCTACCCTGTTTGGAAATCCTCCCACTGCAGACCAGGGGAATTATTTTCCATTACTTACATAATACTTTTGCCACAGCATATCTTAGAAAAAACAGAAAGGAGAGGCAACAACAGGTAAGAAGTTTATGATATAACCCTGATGAGAAATTGGTAGCAAATTCAACAATTCATTTAAGTATTTGAAAAAGCTATATGTTACTGGTTGGAATACTTTTTAAAAAAGGGACATTTTTTTCCTTAATAAGATGAAATCATGTGCGATTTACTCAATACAAGTGGCCATGTGGTTATTCCTGAGATGCAACTCCAGGGGGAAAAAAAAATTAGGCACAGGAGGTGTTAAACTTGTGATCTGTCCCATAATGGTGATGGTTGGAAACAAACAGAAATGGAACAGATAAGCGACAACTCCTCTTGCTCCCTGGTTCCCCCAAATCTCTCTGCTCTGCTCCCTGAGGAATTTCACTTTGGCCGATCTAACAGGCGCAGGAAGAAGCCAGGTGGAGCGGGGGCTTGGAGTCCCCAGAGATGCGTTTCAGGAACACTGACCACGTGGTCCAGGGAACACCGCTCCTAAGAGGCTTTCCAAGCCCCAGAGTTTGTTCAGAGAAAACCCTGCTGGCATGGATGGATTTCTCCTCCTGACAGTTCGCAGGAGAGGGTGTAATGTAAAGAATTAAACGATTCATTCCAAACATGTGCTAGGCGCAGGGACCCCTGCTCAGACCCTCTTCCTGCGGGTGCGCTGAGCCGCACATGCGTGATGAGGTCGTCTTGCGGGCGCTCACAAAGGACCCGGGGGCGGGGGTGGGGAGACGCATCCTTCACCGGGGCGACTCGTGGCTTTCATTCCTCCTGGCTGCTCAGGATCACAATGGACCTTCTCAGCGTCACGTGGGCTCCCTGAAGACGGGTTTAGCCGCCTTTCAGTGGAACAAGCCCCCCCACCCGCCCCACACCGAGCTGCACAATGCGGTTATTATAACGCCCTGGCCCTAAGAAGGGCTTGGGAACAGCTTGGAGTGGCCTATAATTAAGTTCATTTAATAATAAAGACACAGCTTCTTAGGTATTTATTGCAAGAAACGAAAAGAAGCCCGTCATCTTCTCACTCTCTACTCCCCTCCCCCACCGTCCTTCCCTTTTACAAATCAGGAAAGCCAGGGAGTTATACATTTTTTAAAAATAACTTTTGCAAAGGCTGTCTGGCCAGTGGGGAAAGGGAAATTAAATTACTTGAGAACATTCTTTCCATGTTTAAAAAAAAAAAAAGGCTTCTGCTTATTCAGGTAACTCATGGGGACGATTGTTGAAAGGCTGTTCCATCAATCACTCTTGGGTTCAACTTCCAAAGGCTTTCAGGGGCTGTGACCCTCCAGCAAAGGGGCATCCCCAGGGATGAAGCTGCCATTTGGATGGGCACTTCCTCAAGCCGCTGCTGTGCCCAGGAAGGATCCATGGGGTGTGTCCCTCCAGCAGGGTCCCCTGTCCTTGGTCCTCACCCCTCCTCCAAGCACTCGAATTGTGCAGCTAGTTTCCAAGTAGTCAGGAGAGGCGAGGGCTCCAGGAAATGTGGTCAGTTTGCAAGAATAAAGCATGAGAGGGGACAGTCCAGGGTCACAGCTCGGCCCCTGTCTGGCTGCGAGTGTTTCTGTTTTCTTGGATTTCCCCAAGGCTCAGTGTCCTTCTTTGTGAAATGAGGATGTTAGTAGTACAAGTGTTAGTGGCTCAGTCATATCCGACTCTTTGTGACCCCATGGACTGTAGCCCACCAGGCTCCTCTGTCTGTGGAATTCTCCAGGAAAGAATACTGGGATGGGTAGCCATTCCCTTCTCCAGGGGATCTTTCTGACTCAGGGA